TGTGTGTGTGTGTGTGTGTGTGTGTGTGTGTGTGAATGTTGCATTTTCTTTTGTACAGAAATATTTTTCTGGAATTTGTTCCCTCATGTGACTGTGAGATTAAACTCTGCCAAAATATGTTTCTATCAAATATACTAATAGCTACGAATGTGAACAAAAAATAAAACAAAACAAAAAAACATCTTAAATGAGACAACGTATGCTAAATTATTCTAGAAAATTCAAATGTGTTGTGCGGGTCACAACTTGAGAAAACTAAAATATAAATAATAAATTCAATATACACTAAAATAGAAAATATGTATAAAAAAAGGTAGTCYTTTTTGCATATTTTGATTTTGTTGAAATAGAAAAAAAACAGCATTTATTTCTGATTTCATGTACCAATCACTCTAATTGTCATACTTTTCGGTATCCTGAAGCAAAGATGTTTGCTGTCTACCTCGTCCTGCTGCTGCTCCCTCACATCTCAGCTCAGACTTTTCACTGGGGTCCCTGTCCAAATCCACAGGTGCAGCCCAACTTCAACCTCCACCAGGTAACTGACACAGACACCTGTTCACATGTGGTTCATCCTGAGCCGCCCTGCAGTAACCGTTTCTCCTGTCTGTTCACAGTACCTGGGAAGGTGGTATGAGATAGCCAAGCTGCCCTCCACCTACCAGAGAGGGAAGTGTATTGAAATAAACTACGCTCTGAGGAGAGACGGAACCRTCCGGGTGCTTTACTCTAGGCTCCGGTGAGAACCGACACTCTGCGTTTTCAGTTTCACATGATATGTTTAATGTTTAAAGTTGAACTGGGCTAATCAACTGGTGGCCTGTGGGCCACATCTGGACTGCGGGTGAGCTCAATCTGGCCCACTGATGAGTTCATTTAAAATAAAATTATATTTTTAAACAAGAAAATACAATAGTGGAAAACATTTAAAAAGTCTGAAAAATTAAGTATTTCCATGCGTTCAGTAACTGCGGCACCCTGACCAAGTTAATTTTATATTCCTGCTGTCAAACGTGGCTGGTCTGATCATTTCTTAACCATTATTTCGCAAACAAATTCTTCTAAACCAAAGACAAAATGAGCAAAATGTTTTTATTGTGTAACTTTCTGCATGTTGGTGAGTTTTAATATATAAGTATTGTCTGGCCTCAGTTACTGGCATATAAATACAATATACCTTCTACATTTATAAGATTTGCAGATATGTTAGAAGGATTTTTACAATTAAGTGTTCAGAGGTGGCATCATTTTTTTCTTTGTTTCAGTAAAGACAAATTGAAGGTAGCAGAAGGGACTGCTGTGATTCCTGACACGAGAGAATCAGCCAAACTTGGACTCAGCTACTCATATTGTAAGTATTTGTTGTTGTTTTTTTTATTTCGAACAGACATTAAAACAATCAAAAAGAAAAGAAAAATAAAATAGAATGAAACACACTTAAGAAATAAAATGCAATACAAATTATTTTGCCCATGTGACATGCAAAAATTAATATTTTCTGTTCGAAAAGGAGCAGGTAGAAGATACATCTTATAATGTCCTGCCCCTTTCCTACTTGTCAATGTATTATCAATTAACTTTCAGAACCTCCTAAAGAGACAACTTGTTTCCATTTTACATAATGTTTAACTATGTAGAATTATTTTAAGTACTATTTATATCGTCAATTACATTATAGACTATTGAACATTAAACATCTTATATAGCATATTTTGAAATGAGCTCTGCTTTAATCAGTTTTTTAAATTGGTTTACATTTGTAATTTTTTTTAACTCATCATTCAATCCATTCCAGACATTTACTCCACACACTGATAAACAAAAACTCTTCCTGGTTGTTCTAATATGTTGTTTTTTAAAATGTCCTTCACCTCTTAAATTATAACCCCCCTCTCTGTCACCAAACATTTCCTGTATGTTGTGTGTAAGTTTTTGATTTCGGACCTTAAACATGAATTGTGTAGTTTTAAATATTACCAGGTCCCAGAATTTCAGTATATTTGATTTAATGAGCAACTGGTTTGTGTGTTCCCAGTATCCCACTTTATGTAGTATACGGATAGATTTTTTTGTAAGACGTATAATGTCTGTAAATTTTTTTTTGTATGTATTCCCCCAAACTTCCACACAATATGTTAAATGTGGYACAATGAGTGTGTTATATAGAATAAACCAAGATTTATAGTCCAGGACGAAAGTAATTTTTCTTATAACAGCAACACTTTTGGCTATTTTAGATTTTACTAGGCTGATCTGTGGTTTCCAGCTGAAGTTATCGTCKAATATGACACCCAAGAATTTTATTTCATGGACTTGTTCTAAATCAACACTTTCAATTGATATTTTAATTGGATTATTTTCCTGTTTTTTATTGTTTCCAAATGTCATGAATTTGGTTTTATCTAAATTTACAGATAATTTATTGTTTTTGWGCCAATGCTGTAATTTTTCTATTTCTGTGTTAACCATTCTGAAAGTTGTTGAATGTTTTCTCCAGTACAGATGATACTTGTATCGTCTGCAAATATAATGTATTTTATAAGGTTTGATATTTTGACTATGTCATTTATATACAAATTGAACAATTTGGGTCCCAAAACGGATCCCTGCGGAACTCCACAAGTTATGTTTAGTAAGTCTGATTTCTGACCATCTAATTCTACAAATTGTTTCCTTTCTCCAATGTAGCTCCTAAGCCAGTTCAACGCCACCCCTCTAATTCCATACCTTTCTAGGTTTTTTAATAACATGTCATGATTAATGGTATGTTTCATGGAACATTTTATTTTTTAAACTCAAAATACCTTAATTTGTCATATATTGGTGTTTATTTTCATTCATAATTAGCAGCTTCAGGGTATCAATATATAGCTATACTTATCAGTTTAATAAGTGGTTTGTTGTAAATTAAAGCCAGGATTTTACAATTTGCATGACAAATATTTTGTCATAACTATAAAAAAATTTGTTTTCTCATATAACAGAAAATAAATGTTTTCTGACTTGAATCGTGTCATTGACTCTCACGCCAACTTAATAAAACACCTTTTATTTTGTTTCTCTGTGGGTTCTGCTCCCAGTTACTCCCTACAGCTCACACTGGGTTCTGACCACCGACTACACCAGTCTGGCCGTTGTGTACTCCTGCACAGACGTCCTCCACCTGTTTCACGTCGACTATGCCTGGATTCTGTCACGGTCGCGCTTCCTGCCCCCAGAGACGGTTCTTTACGCCCAAGAGCTGCTGGTCAGAGAAGGAATCGACATTTTCAGGATGAAGGCGACCGATCAGAATTGCAAAGACGTCTAAGAACCAAAAAGACTCTTGGTCCTGACGTCATGTTTATCTGCTGAGGAATAGTTCAATAAATATTCATCACACTTTTGTTCAAATTACTTAGGGGGAAAAAGAATTAAAGTTTTTTTTTATATTTTGCACTAATATAACAATTTGAGCATTTATTAAAGATGTTACCTCTGATTAGCAGAACATTACCACTAAATCAAATTCTTATTGCAACATGAGACTTTTAGAAGAGGCCGAAAGGTATAATAGATTGAATAAGAGTTTAATCAGCCATATTAAACAATAGAATTTATGGTCAGAGAATGAAATGAAGTGTTTTAAAACATGAGTAAAAAAATGACCGCAAAAGTGTGAAAGTCCTGCATGTTTTAACATCATTTATTTGCTTTTTATTTCATTTAAACTTATAAAAAACTAAGACCAATTACTTTTAACTGAACCATAAGGACAAATAAATCAATCCAGCATCCCTTGAAGGAATGCTAAATGTTCTCAATATCGGTAAAAACTCTCTGAATTAGAGCCATTTTCGTGCATTTTCTTACGTCAGCTGACCGGTGGCCATCTTGAAACTGAAATTCAAAGAGGGTTTTTTTTCTTATTCCAAAATGTTTACGCTTTTGCAAAGCATGTTTAATGAGCTTAAAGGCATAAAAGGAGCAACAAGTGATAAATAGTTCCAGGACAATGCAAGACTTGAATAAAGACGTTTTATTTCCAGTGTTTGTTGGGATGGGGGGCTGGTATTGAAACTTGTTCTGCTGTAAACAGGTGAGATTTTTACTCTTCAGTAAAACATTTGCTTCATTCACTTCTAAACGYTTGGTATTTATTGTTCTCCGTCCATATTGAACTGCCTGTTTAACTTTATTTACTTGAAGAAAAAACAGGAGAAGTAAAGAAATTAATTTAATCTAAATACAAAACAAGAAGTTGCTATGGGTTTGAGTAAAAACAGGACATGAATCAGGAATGATAGCGACTTTTTTGTTGGAACAATCCTTCTGTTCTTGACAAATGTCTATTACAAACAGGTTTTTCTTAAAGAAAATAAAAAAGGCACTTCTCTTTATAGGATAAAAACAATGTGCACATGTAAAAACATCGCATTTGCACTATAACTTGACAAAGTTTGGAAATAAAACCTACTGTACCAGGCATTACATACTATAGAATCAGCATTTCATTACTGTTTTTCTGTTTGTTTTTTCTTTTATTTGATAAAACTATAACAATCTTCCAGTCCTTCTAGCTAATATCTGGCTGTTGTGAATGTGCTGTGAAAAAAACAACAAATTTCCCACAGCACCCAGCTCAGAAAGCAGCCTTCAATTTATCTACGTACTTCAAGTACAAACAGAAATAAAAACCTCACATATATATTTAAAAAAGAAAGTTTTGTCTCGAGCATCTAATATTAGACCAAGAAAGAGTAGTACATTCGTCATACCACTTTGAATGAGGAAGAACTAAACTGTGATTCCTCAGTCTTTACAACAGTGCTGTAAAACGAGCCTTATTTATTTCATGTACATATTTATAGAAGAGTCATTCAGTCCTGCAGAGGAAGTTCAGGGTTTGTTTCTGTGTCTGTTCCAGTATGGCAGAGAATTACGCACATAAACATCTCTTAGTAACAATCATATAAGCTTATACACAGTATTTACAGAAGACAAGTATACTTCATAGAAAAAATATTGTGCTAAAATACACAAACACACACACACACACACACGCACGCACGCACGCACGCACGCACACACACAGGTTGTTTCTCCTCACGCAGTGGCGTCACCTCTTGTCGTCTCACAGGTACTGGTAGAACCGTGAGCGCACGACGTGTCCTCCGGAGAGTTTGTGCGGATGAGCGTCTGTTCCCAGCGAGGCTCTGCTTTTATCCTGCAGCCTGCTGCCGTTCACCTGCTCCTCCGGCCGAGCGTCGGCGGGCGGAGGAGGYGGAGGGTTTTCAGGGGCGGCGTCGGGAGTGTCGGGGGGATCGTCCTCGGGCACGGCTTTCGGCGCAGCACCTGCGTTCAGCTGGGAGCTCCTGCGCCGCTCCTTGGAGATCCAGTCTCGGACGGAGAAGTCCTGCGAGGAGAATGTGGGCTTGAGGTGGTCCAGAGGGGACAGGTCGGCCGTTTGGTCCACRCCGCCCTGCTCCCTCCAGTCGTTAATAACCGCCAGCTCAGCGAAGTCTCTCTGCCCGCCCAGGGTGTGCCTCCGCCGGATGTTCTTCTTCTTGCTGCGGGCGTCGGAGCCTCGGCCCTTCAGGGCGAACGTGTCGTCGGCGGACGGCCGCGCCCTGAGCTTCAGCCGCTCTGTGATTTTCAGGTGCCAGGCCGGCTCCGCGCGCTCCGACTCGCTGCGTGAAGACGAGCTGATGCTGCTCGTCGACCGGCCTTTCCTCATCGCCTCCAGAACCCGAGACAGCCGACCGGAGGGCTCGGCCTTGCCTTCGCTGCGGTCCCCGCTCCCCGCGGCGCCCTCTGCTGATGAGTCGCTGTCCGTTTTGTGTCTCAGGGACCACCTCCTAGAGAGGGTGTCGCACTCGATCATCCTGTGCGTTGGAAAAAGGCGCCGGGCTTCCTGTTTGGCAGCGGTGCTCCCCTTGGCCGCGTCCCCGTCGCCTCTCACCTCCGCCATCTTCCGGCTCGGCTCTGGGCGGGGCGTGGACTGGCTGTCGCCTCCTCCCGGGGCGAATACCGGGAATTCACCCTCGCTGTCGGTTTCCATGTGCCGCCCCTCACTGACGAGCTCACTGCGCTCGTCGTCGGCTTCCTCCCCTCCCTGCGGCTCGGGGCTGAGCGCGCTCGACTCTGCGTTGGTGAGGAACGTGACGGAGGAGGTGGTGGAGTAGTCGGAGGTGATGGAGCTAACCTCGGCTCCGGCGGCCRTCCCAGCGCCGCCTCCGAGCCCGGCGCTCACGGGCACGTCGAGGGGAGCTCCTCCGGTCCACTTCTTGGGTCGTGAACGCGTGACGGACACTCCGGAGCTCATGGTCCCGAGGTCGGAGTTGTTTTCATCCAGTTGGGACGGGGGATCCGACAGAGAGGACCTCCCAGGAGCAGCTGTTTGGTYGCTGATGTGGGAACAGATGTTTGAGGAGGGCAAAGGTGAGAGGTGTCTGGGAGGAGTCTTCTCCTTGAGGAGGAGGGAGTTTCTGTGCTCTCTTTTGGCTTTAGACGTGAGCTCCACAGCCCTTCCGTTCTCCTTCCTCTCCTCTTGCTGCATCACAGCGGGTGTCACGTCAGGGCTGGGACCAGCCTCGTCCCGCGRCTCGATGTGGTGGTCCGGCTTCAGGCCGGGGATTTCCATTTTGAGGAACACAGAATCGAGATCATCATCTGAGCTGCTAGGATGCGGCTTCTCCTTTTTCTTTCTTTTGCGGCTGGCTGCAGCAAAGATGGAGGTGACCAGGAGCTCTCTTTCCTTCTCAGAGACCCAGCGATCCAGCAAAAGATAAACGAGAAAGAAGGGGGGGGACAAACAGAAATAAGCATTTCAGAAATGAGGATCGACTTACAGACGAGACAAATAACCCCCATCTTTCCTGACTAAAAAACTTAAATCTTTACTCCACCTGCTCCTGTGAAGCAACATAGATCGGAGACAAAAAGAGGCACATTAGCAGCTTCACAACCAAAACACACACAGTGTCCATGCCGGCCTTAGAGCAGAAGCAGGAGAAGCGGAAACTGCAGAGGCACAAGCGCTGCCATGAAGCTGAAACTGAGCAGCCAAGTGACAGCAGAGCAATAAGTAGAAACAACTGCTTTCATTTTCTATTGCTGAATGTTCACAGCCTTTTCTAACTTACGTTTCTTAAACAAGACGTTGGATGAGAACCAAGTTTCAGTGCCGCTGTGTGTGTTAATGCCAGTGTCGTGTGTTGCGGAGCAGAGCCAGTGAAGGTTAGACTGTGTTAGCCGCTTACTCTATATTACAGAAGTGGTTTCACTACAAGAAAACTGATATTCAACCAAGTACAATATTTATTAAGCATGTAAGAATCTGTTAAAACTGAAGGTGGAAGCAAAGCGAGCTTGCATCACCATAAAAACAGTAGAAAAAGACAGAAGAACTTAAGAGACACAARCAGCTGTACATGCTGTCTTAAAGCACACTGAATGATAAGGTTTTACAGCCTATAACTATGTTTTAATGGAAGRTTTGTTTTAATTGTTGCTTTTTGTTTTGATTTGTTTTTCAAATTTAAGGCCAGTTTAATTGGGGGACAGTGAATTTGTACAAACTCTAGGGGCCTCGTGTTAGTGCTGGGCGGTATACCAGTTCGTACCAAAAAAAAAAACAACTTTTTTTTTTTTTCATTTTTGTTATATGAATTTTCTGAATACCGGTTTAAATAGCTTGAACACGTTCTGAACCTTACATCGCTCCCACCAGTGAACTGTTTCACGGGGGACATCTTTTCCTCGCAGCACCGCTACATGCATTAGCAAGCTAATGTAATTGTAGGAGCAGCCTTCTCAATAACTGGCCGTGTGTGGGGATTACATTACTTATATAGACTGATATATAAAACACTCCTGCTTTCGCCACATCTTCAGTGACGTGCACGGATTGATTTAATGCACGACGTTCATCTATGAAGACGTTATCATGCTTTTATTGTGAAAAGCCTGAAGGAAGTAGTTTTGTACTAGGGCTTAGCTGACTGGTCCACGGAGGCTGAGTCGTCCCATTAAGCTTTATTAAATAACACAAAACGATGGACCCGATAATGATTTTTGCTCAACCCTCCTCCTTTAAAGTGCCTGTGACATGACATTTTAAAAATAAATATAAAGGCATTATTGGAAAGGTAACATTATTAACTTATTGCAAAAATGATTTCCCGCTGCTGAGATGAACAGTTGTTGAGATATTTTGCATGCGAAGTAACAGGAAGTGATGTCAAAGGGGTATGCCTGCATGAAACAAAGCATTGATAAAATAGCTAAGGACACAGACTGTAGAGAAGAAACTGATGTTTCTTTAGATTGTTTTGAGTCACTAGCTGCGTTTCCATTGACCATGAAAATGCGGAAATTTGAATTTCGAAAATAAATTTGCTCAATGGAAACACGTCAATTTCGGGAAAAAAATTACATTTTTCGACAAAATATTTTTGCGCTAGGATGAGGTGGTTTTTTGGCTGTATCGAAATTGGTAGTTTTCGCAAAAATGCAATGAAAACACTTATTTTCACATCACGGGAATCACGTGATCAAGRACYGGCTGTTTCTACTGGCGAAAAAGACGATGACGAAAAAGATAACAGGAAGTAGAAATAGTAGTAATATCACAAAAGTAGTATAAAGTTGTAAACGCACCATCTACAATTTCCCAAAARCACAGCATACGTAGCCGCTCCCAAGTAGGGGCTTGTTGCTGGAAAGCCCGATAAAAGACACCGACGTCTCCTCTGATGATGTGCGCTATTGTCGCGGTAGCAATATGCTATGTGTTTACATCCATTGCCGCCATATTTGTAATGACTTATCGCGAGAACAAACGTATTCACRCGTGACTTTAATAGCATTTCTCACTTAATGGAAACACTGCAGTTGCGAAACTGTTTTTTCGACATTAGCAGAATGTCGACAAAGTTTTGCACACATTTGCAATGGAAACCCAGCTACGAGTCGGAGTTCAAATAATATTGTTTCAATAAACAAAGACCACAGAGTTCTCTTTCTTAAAAGGTTCCCCTTTGATGTCACTTCCTGTTGCACTTTGGCTGAGCCAAGTTCAAAAGAAAATATGCCATTGGTGTGATAAAATGGGTAAAATCACATGTTTTATGCAAGGTTTCTTATAAATTTGTGTTTTCTTTGACTTTTTGTATTTGATGGGTAGGGATGTCACAGGCACTTTAAGGACCGTACCAAAATGCATAACTGTTTTTAACCAGGCAGAGAAGAAAAGACACGCAGTACACAGTCAATAAATAGTTTCTGTGTTGCAGAAAGAGAGTAACTTCAGCTGATAGTGGTTTGCTAATCAATAAGCAATGTTTGTACATTTTATTATCAGCTGAGCTGTGATGTAAAGAAAAATACCATCAAATACCGTGATACCGGTATAATTGTTGAAAATACCATGATTTAAATTTGGGTCATACCGCCCAGCTCTATCAACATAGTACTGTATATTCAATGCACACGTTTGACTTGGTAAAGTCTCATCTGTTGCAGCATGAGGCTGTTGTTGCAGGGCCCTGGTAGCAATAAATTCACTCCGTCGTCGTGCACAAGTACCTCACAGTAAATAAAAGCAGCAAATACTCTATATATTTGCACTACAAATTCTGCTACCTGTAAGCTGCTAGATATTGACTTGTTTTGTTAGCTTAAATATCTCTGTTGCAACTTCCTTTCTTCGTGACAAGAAAGTTTTGCTAAGCGTCTTAATTGTGCTATTTGACAGGAATGCTACCAACAGTCCATTAGAATAATCATTTTTTGACTAATGATGCAAACACRTTTCTTGCCGTTTAAAACAAGACACTTTTGAGACATCAAACACAGATATTTCTGCTCCCACCTCCTGTTTTCAAATAGAGACTTTGCTTTGCTTTAAGTGTTAATGGTTTATTTGAAGTTAACCTACACTATCTGTGAGCTGGACACACTTACTTACCTTTGATTTGGCTGAGTCACTAGCTGGAGAATCTGTGGAGGAAAAAGAGAGACAAAAGAGAGCCATATTATAGGYTTTTCTCTAAATTAAAACTGATCACATGAAAGAGGAGGTGCAACATTAGGAAATAAAAAAAATAAATAAAAAACAAGTGATGATGACAAGAAGAATGGCAGGACGGGACACGAGGACGAGACGGATGAGAGGAGAGCAGACGACAGGTCATGCTGCGCACGAACACAGATGAGCTCCATGTTACACTCAGCTCCACGTCTTCCTGCGACGCGGCGTTCTTTCCCCAAGTCGGACTTCTACTTGAGCACGGAGCCACACGCAGACAGGAAGAGAGGAAGCGATTTCAAGATTTCGTGGTGCAGCTTCAGCAGTGAACACGTTAACAACAGCAGAGCAGATGATGGGTCATGCAGCGTGGAGACTTACTGAGTTAGTACTTATGCTATGAATGTATGTAAAAATAAATACGCTAGTTTGTTCTGTTGTGTGTAAAACTTATATATGAAGCTTCAAAAATATGTTTACTTTAAAAGTGAGGTCAGAAACATACGTATTTCATAAAAGTATTTTAAAAATTGTATTGCTTTGAAGACACTGATGAGAAAAGTTTTGTCATTTTTAATTTATCTAAGATTTCAGCTGCTTAACAGAGTTCAGATCCTACTTTATTGTATTTCAGTTTAACACACTGATTTTCTTCCTAAATGAAAGTTTATTGATGTAACTGAAAGTAACAAAGAACAGATATTCTTTCCTGAAAACACTTCTTACGGATGTTAAGAACATAACGTTAATTGATTTACAACTGTGTGGTAAGAAATCAGATCAATCTCTCCACTCTTTAGCTATAAGTTTATTTAGATATAATTTTGTTTCTTTTTAGAATAAACCAAAAATAAAGTGTTTATATGTTTAGTTTTTGCATCTTGCTTTTTATTTATGGAGGCACAGATTTGAGCTACAAAATCTAGTTTGTGCAAAACCAATGACTCAGCATTTTTTAGGATGCTCTTTTTATTTATCCTGAATTGTTCCCAAATGACCTAAATAGTCACAAATATTTTCTAGTTTACGGTTGCCACTCCCCCACATTTTAAGTACAATGATTAAATTCATCACATATTTCCAACAAATACAGATATGAAAACAGATATGATGTATTTGTATTCAACAGAATTTAAGATTTAAAACTATGAAAACCACTGAAATGTACCTATATTTACATTTCCACAAAGAAGAAACTTCTTTTTAAAAATGGGGTTGTCCAACATGTTGCTATACTCTTCAATCTAATCTAATCTAATCTAATCTAATCTAATCTAATCTAATCTAATCTAATCTAATCTAATATAATATAATATAATATAATATAATACAATGAGTTAGGACATGGAGAAATATATAGTACTAGATATATCTAGTATGCTAATATGCTACTTTGTGATATGATATACAGTAAAACAAAGATAGATACACTAAGGTACGATATAATACGATATAACTAGATAGATATGATATGATAATATATAAGATAAAGTACAAACCAATAAGATATATAACACTAAGATAAGGTACAATATGATGCATGGGGTAAGCTTTATTAGTTAAAAAGATMATTTGTTTATCCCCATATTATAAACTGACTTGAATAAGAAAACTGCATCTTCATAAAGTTTTAGCTTCTCATGAATGAAGACAAACAGTTTTCCCCCTTTCTTCAAATAATTCAATCAGTGTTCTCTTTTTTTTCAAACTACATAAAATCATCTAATCATTCATATTATGCTTCACACTGGCTGGTAATTTATTCACATTCAGTTTTCAGACTTCTTAAAATGTTTTGTTTCCCCCTTTTACCCATTAAGAGATAAAAYTATTCAAAAACAAAACTAAAACCCACAGACTTTGTGTATTTTAAATTCAGCATCCTTTTCATCACCTTTCCTAATGACCGCAGCTTTGGAGAAGAACAAACGAATCAGCAACTGGTCCAGAACGGAAGATTAGTTTGTAATTTCACTGAAGCACGACATGAGGTGACATGAGGTGACATGAGCTGCCATGGCAACATGGACACGATGACGACAGAAACAACATGAACCGAAAAGAAAGAAAAGTGACGGGGGGGTTCACAGAGGGGCTAGCTGTGTGACGAGAGAACGCTACATGAGGGGGATGAGTGTCAGCAAGGAAACCTATAATCAGTCCTCACCTGCCCAGTTAGCATTTCAGAATTATTTCGTCTCCAGCTAAAATTTGTGTGACAGCCGAGCCCCCCTACACACCCCCTTTACAGTACAGATGATGGCACAATATGCAGGGGCACACTGACTGGTGACGTAGAAACCATACCATGCCATCTCTCCTGTCGGCAAGCTTGGAAAGACAGTGAGGAGAGACAGCGGAGAGCCTTTCAGACAGTAGCACCGGCCTGCGTTAGGTAAACTCTGACAGATAACCCATAACATGGGACAGTACCGTGTAGCCGCTTCGCTTTCCTTTTTTTCTTTTTTTCTCCCATCATTGTTACAAAACCAAACTTTTTTTTTTCTTTGGCTTTAAAAGACCTGCGGGTTCCTGCAGACTAGGCAGCTACACTGCGGGCAACAATCCTCCTTCTTCCTACAGTTCCAGCTGTCCATCACAGACATTATAGAGTCCATCAGTGACATCATGGCGTGACAGACTCCTCCCACTTGGCCTGTGTCAAGATCAGTATGTGTGAATGCTGGAAAAGCCGTTAGGACACCCGACAGAGCCTCACTAGAGACAGAGGAATCAGAAGTTCGCTTTTTTTTTTCAACTGTAAAAACATCTAAATCTGACGTGGGAAAGAACATGCCGTGTTAGTGCAACAGTAGGCGGGATACAGAGGGTGGGGTGGGGGGGGGGGGGCACAGCCCAGAGGCGGGGTTTAATAACAACAACAAAAAGGCAAGAGGATTCTGCTCAATTTACCAACAACTATCACAGAGGGTTTTTTAAAGCAAATGAAGAAAACAGACAATTTGTTGCATCTGTTTTAAGGATGCTGAGAAATTGTCTGCTAAAAGCCACACAAGCATTTGAAGCTTTTTTTTCTCTCTCTCTTTAAGGGCAAAAGCTAAAGAAGCAGGAGGGGGAAAGACTTGGCTTCGGGTTGGAAAAGAAGCTGCATTATCGTCAAAGTCTGGGTTAAACTCAAACGATCCATCTGTGACCGCAGCAGTGAAAAGGACAGGAGGAGGTTCACCCACCACAGAGTCAGAGGCAGCGTGTTACCTGATACGTCACCCTGCGACGTGCCCGTCCGCCCGATGTTGGTGAGCAGGTGGTCGATGTTGGGGACGGGCTGAGACTCGATGGCGCTCTCCTCCTGGGACACAGTCTGAGGGAGGAGGGAGAAAATTATAACAAGAGGCTTTTCAGTGATTTACTATAATGACCCACAAACTAATTCCTGGACAGCACAGAACCCCCCCATGTTTATAGTAACTAAATACTTTACTTCCTTACAGTACGTAAGTAATTTTTCTGAGGATTTGTCATTTTACGAAGTATTTTTAAAATTGTTACTTTTACTTTAATTTCGTTACACATAAAAAAACTAAAAGTGATACTTTTACTTCTTTACTTTAATCTTTAACACCTAGTTACTCGTTACAATATTAAATATGTCCAAACTCATTATGAAAGGAATTATTTATGAACTCTAAAAAATTAAATATTGAACCAAGTCATGCCAACTGGTTCCACTAAACCTAGCAGAGTAAATATGAAGTTATAAAGATATTTTCTACAAAAGAAAATATGTATATTGCTCAGTTTACTCAACTTGGTTTAGTGGAACCAGTTTGGTTAAGTAAATTCAACAGTTTATTTCTTAGAGAGTGTGTAAAAGTACTTTTACAGTTTTTGTGAACAGTTTTATGACTTTTACTTAAGTACTTTTCTCATCAGTGAAATTTATTTATACCAGAGTAATTTTCTGTTAAAGCATTTATACTTTTACTCAGTTTTTTTTTCAAGTACTTTATAGAACTCTGGGTTTTTGTTGATAGAGCTGGGTCAAACACTTTTATGCAAGTACACTTACCAGGAATTAAGCCATCAAAACACACATTGCAAAATTGGAAAAAAGTCATGTTTCTTATTTCAAGTGAGCTCTGAATAGAATAAGACGTAAACTGACATCATCGAAACGTATGTGAACTTTAAAACAAATCCAGAGCTAATGTAGCCTTTAATTGGCTTGCACAGTGGGAGCAGAAGTGTTAGAATAAAATCTCATTGTTGCTCTTTTTTTCTCTCCCAGAAGTTTAATGTTTTATTATTGCCAGTCTGAGTTTGAACAATCCTTAATGTGCTGCAAAGCTGTAATCACAAAGAAAAATCTTTAAGTTTTTGCGACAACCTTTCCAAACGTTGAGCAATATATGAAAAGTATTTTTACAGATCGGTTCAAATACGAGTTTAAAYCCTGTGTTTAAACAGCAGTCAACCCCAAAGCCCAAACAGCAAAGACTTCAATGGTAAAATTAAACAAATGTTTACAAAAAACCCAAACATGTAAATGGTAAAATGCAATTAAATGTGTACTAAAGAAGTGTTTTTGTAATTATAAAGAAAACTCCTAAAGTACTGGGCACATTTTGTTTAAAAGTAGCTGCTGACTTTCAGTTTCCTCATAACAAATAATAATTATTTGTCAGCAGATAATGTGTAAGACCAAGAATACAGTTTTGCAAGCCGTACACTCACTGATAATGCAACAAGCTGCCTCTCAACTCACCCTAATATTTAAATCTCAGAGACTGCAGCTGAACCTCTGACCTATTTACAACTTTAAATTACCAACTAGGCTTCAACAGTCAACCCAGTGAGATATTAACTTCAGACAGCTAAGCAGTCTTCAGCTGTCCTTTTATTAATGACGTTATGCAGAGTTTAATGAAACTAGAGGTGCAACAGAGACAGGACTCACCACTGGATCTCCATTTCCATCTTCAGTGAAAAACCAGTCATACTAGAAAAAAAAAAAAGAAATCACAACCAATAAGTTTACGTTAACGTTGGTGAAAAGAACGATYGGTGAACGATCAGATGCTCACATTTTGAATGAGTGTCTCCACTATCTTGTACTGGTCCGGCATGTGTGTCACCATATGGGTCATGTTGTCATCAGTGGTGCGCACCAGCGTGGGACCGAACACGATGGCCAGGTTCCTCGGTTCCATCTGGTAAAGAAAAAAATAAAATAAATTTATTGCATGTTTCAAACTGGCCACAAAATTAAAGTAAAACTTGAAAAAAGAGATGACCTTATTTTTTTCTGAGTTTCCAGCCACAGTTTTCAGATGAGCTGAGAGGAACTTGAGTGTCTCATAGTGATGATCTGGTAACTCGTGAAGCTGCAAAGAAACAACACAGTTGAGTCTTATGTATGCTGACACATGCTACTAAAGAAGAAAACAAAAGCTYTGCTGAGCAGAGAACCTACCAGCCTTTTGAGCACTTTAAGCCTCTCCACTGGGTCCTCTATTCTGTTGGCATCTATGAAATCTGTGTATCGATCTGCGGGGAGACTTCACAGTTACACAATGTTTCTGTCTAATTTCACTTCCTAATTTGGGAAAAGCAGCTTTTTCTTTAGACTGCTCCCTTCATCTAAAGTTGGACAGTTCTGAGTGCAGAATCGACGTACCGTTAGTGAACAAAGGCTCAGGAAGTTTACGAAAGAAAGACTTCAGTAAGCTGCTGATCACATTGAGGTCTCTCCATTTCTGCAACAGAAAGTTAATTATTAAAAAATCTGTTTCTTTTATATTCATGCTAGCTGCTGTACTGTTGATGAATAAAGACACACCTATGTTGCTTTACCTACATTACTGTTAAAGTTTTAGCAGGCCTGAATGAACCATTGCTTTGAATGTATTTCGAGACTTCAAGAAGAGTTTAATTAAAGCAACCCAGATCAATAAGGGAGACTCACATCATCCTGGATGTCGATATCAGTCATGCCCTTGTTGTTGAGCTCTTCCTGCATGTTGGAGATGGCAGCGTTGTTTCCGGGGACTCTGTAGATGCCTGTGTACTCTAAGCCCCTCTCCTCCACCAGCTTACAGCAAACCTCCACAATCAGTGGCACAAACTGGAGGAAAGAGAGGAAAAGTGTTTAAAAGCATATCAAAAGTAAAACCTATGGCTGCAACTACCTAAAATACCAAAAGGTACAAATGTACAGATCTTATCAAAAGCTGTGGGTTCTTTATGTTTTACTTTCAAGAAGCCAGGCTTCCTTGTATGTTTTAAACTGGTTTCAATCGGCTAAATAAAAGCTGTGGATTGATTTGTGCTAACTGTAATAATGAGTACAAGAGAAAAAAAATGAGCAGAGACCTTGTTGTTGTGTGCAGGAGGACAGTCATCCAGTCTCACTCCAAACGTCACTCCAGGAGACGGCTTCTTTTCAAAAGGTTTCCTCATCAGCCCTGGGATGCCTTTCCTCCACGTCCCTTTATCCTTGGGTGGACTGGTGTCATCTGCACACAACACGTGATAATCAGAGTGTTTTGATATAAATTATAGGAGACACAGCAAAAAGCTTTATTATAGTGTTGAATGCATTATATTTTAACAAAAATAATTAAAAAACTAGACTACCTTTGTGCATGTTCTTCTTCTCCTGCTCGGGTTTAGGCGAGTGCGGGCTCGTAGCTTTGCTCTCTTTCCCCCCCAGCAGAGTCTGTCTGATGCTCAGCGACTGGCGTGAAGCTCTGGGTGACGGCTCTGTTTTGCTTCCAGTTGGGCTAAAAAAAAAAAAAAAAAGTTAAAAACACCAGCTACAACGGGTCTTGGGCTGCTGGRTGTGATGGGGACAGACCTCCCCTTGTTGTCCTTACCTCATCAAGGTGTTGTACTCCTTGATCCTCCTGCTGATCAGGTCATGACTGGTGAAGGCTGCATTCTAAGAAAAGAGAAGGACAGAGTGAATGTCAGACACAACTGATGATGCTCAAAGCATCAGACAGGTGTGTACCACACCTTATAGTACCCAGGTGCTGTAACACAACACATCATTGGAACACTATAACTTRGACTCAGTTTTATTAACTTGGTGTTAATTCTCTTGTAGTAAATGCAATAAGTACATATTGCTATTTTTCTACCTTTGTATCCTTTATAGTCTTTAAAACCAAGTATTGCCTAATCTTCGAGTGATTTCGGCTCGTTGTTATGTGCCTGCTCGTTGTAGTACCTCCTCATCCAGGTTGCTGCTCTCCTGTATGACCCTGATCCAGGCCAGCATGTCCTCTCGGTCCTCAGCCTGGAACAGGTATTCGCAGTTGGACGTGGTGAGCCTCAGCACGTTCTTACGCTTTGTGTCGCTGTAGGAGATGTCAATCAGACAGGCCTTGATGCTGATCTGCAGCGGCTCGTCCGCGGTTTGACAGCTGGCGTGAGCTTGGCCCTCCTTCCTGTCTTTGTACAGGCAAAGGGAGTGGCCTCGCAACACGGCGTACATCTGCTTCCACTGCCTCATACCTCCGCCCACACGCTGCAGAAACAAAGCCGGAGCGTTTTAACAAAATCATGCTTAAATCAATCAGAAGCTTGAAACCTCATTCAAAAGACAGGCCAATTTTGAGGCGTTTTGATTATTTTTGGATATAAACAGCATTTTCATAACAACTGAAAGTAATATAGTTGCTTGATTGTGAGTTGAAATATGTACCCGGACAATACATAAACCCTCCCTTTAAGCTGATTAAACCAAACGACTGCAAAATAAGAAGGTGATATTAAACAAGGGCAGACGTTTTATTGTTTGTTTAACTTAAGGAGGTGTGTTTTATGTGCYCATGTGGAAGCCAAGTGAAGTTTATGCAGAGGCAGTGCACACCTTGCTCTTATCTGTATGAAGCTGCTTGAAATGCAAGAAACCCTCTTTGGTGGCGTCACAGAAGACGTCTGACGAGGAGTCTCTCCTGGACTCYGAATCATCTGATGACCTGTCCACAGCCTAAAATATCATGCGTGTTAAAAAAAACATTAAAAAAGGTTGAGATGAACACAACTGGAACAAAGCAGGAGAAATGGTTTGTCTTATTTAATTGACAGATTCCACTTTGTCGATGTTAATAAAAAATCTTCTTCTTACACCAGAATTAGTCATGGAGTTCCTCAGGGTTCAGTGCTTGGACCAATCCTCTTTACTTTGTATATGCTKCCATTAGGTAAAGTTATTAAACAGCATGGGATAAATTTCCATTGTTATGCTGATGATACTCATTTATATATATTCATGGAACCCGATGAATCCAACCAGTTACTTAAACAACAAGCATGTCTTACAGACAAAAACATGGATGACTCTTTACTTTCTGCTTCTAAACTCAGGTAAGACAGAGGTTTTGGTTCTTGGACCTGAACATCTTAGGGATCAACTTTGTAGCCTTTCACCTCCTCTGGATGGCATTAATCTGTCCTCCAGTTCTAATGTAAAGAACCTTGGTGTTATTTTTGATCAGGATATGTCCTTTAACCCCCACATTAAAAATGTTATCAGGACCGCCTTCTTCCACCTGTGTAATAAATATCACTAAAATTAAAAACATTTTGTCCAAAAATGATGCGGAAAAACTGATTCATGCGTTTATCATGTCTAGGCTGGATTCTTGTAATTCTTTATTATCTGGGAATCTAAAAACCTCTTTAAGAAGTCTTCAGGGAGACTGTGACGAAGCAAAGATTTGGTGCAGTCTGCTGGCTTCTTTAGATTTATTGTTTGGTTTTTTTGTGTACAGTGTCCTGAGACAACAGTTGTTGTGACTTGGCACTATATAAATAAACTGAATTGAATTGAATCGAATTTCATGAATTCAGAATACATTATATAAGCTCTGAAGACAAAACTATTTCCCGGTAAAGCTTGGTGACGATTACACAGCTGTCCCTATTCGCCATAACACATTCAAATTTCAAGGTGAGGCTTTTAGGTGTGACCTTAAAAAGGCAGGAGATGCTGATAAACCAGCAGGTGAGAACAACTGAGAGTATGTTGGATAACTTACCTTCCTCAAACCTTTCAGGCCAGGTAACAAGGACCTCCTAAACAGAAAGGAAACAGTGATGTTGAGAACTGACTGCATCATGAGGTGATATTTTTAAAAAAGTATTTTGAGGGGTTTTATGGCAGCTCATTTTCCCATAACCTCACATGGTACGTCAGACTTTAATGTTTTTAAAATGTCTACTACTTCAAGTCCAAATTTGCCTCTACAACAATGACTTTACTCCTGATTTTAATGTACAGAATAGTTTTAGTTTTTGTAGGTGGATAGTTTGGTAATTTAAGAAGTGACATTCTAGTGCATGTTATCAGTTCAAATACTTTGTTTATTCAATATAGCTTTTTTTTCCCCTAATGTGCAACTTACCCTCTGCCTTCCTCCTGGTAGTTATTGATGCCTTCATCATACGACCTGGACCGTTCAGTTTTGGTACCAGAGTCTGATTCGATAAAAAACAAACTTTTTTTTAAACAGAGTCACACAACCACATAAAACTGTTTACACACTACTGTGCTGAATTTAATGGTTGAGTCTGAGAAGAATAACTTAAAAAGAACACACCTTGGTCATGTGACAGCTGGCGTAAAATGTGATGGGATGAAGATGTCGGGCTGGGTGGGAYGGTGGCGATGAGGGGCGCTGCAGAAATAACAACAGAGGCGGGAATGTGTGCGCTGTCCAGGTCAATGCTGGGACTGGATGGTTCATCTGAGGGCAGAAATGCAGAACAGTAGTTAAAAAAAGAGGACATWCAGTATCTTTTGTTTACTGCCAGAAGGTGAAGTGTGCAGTCACAGCTCAGCAGCTCCTCGTGTAAAGTTTTATTGAGATCGTAGCAAGAGCCATGAGTGGCACTTATAAGGACAGAGGGATGTCTTGTGTTTCAAAACAGAAGCTCAAAGAGTAGCTTCTGCCTGAAGCATGCAGTTTTCCTCACTGTATAATTAAATAACAGTATATTTAGGCCCAGCTGCCAGCCAGAAATCTATTCATTTAAAATAAAGAACCCCATTTTTACAAGAATCAATGTTTTACTCAATGGATTAGCATGATTCATCCATTTATAACACAGAAATTGGCCTTTGAAACTATACTTTTTCACAAATACATCAGAAACAACATCAGAAGAGTTTGACACAAGTTTTATAAGAAGATAAAATGTGATTAGATGTCTTGTTTTAGTTAAAAAATATGGAATGAGCATTCAGGTTTTAGCAAACTTTGTCTCTTTTGTGGCAAATAAAAAAGTATTAACATTTTACCAGACTCAGACTTTCAGCACTATATGTTTTTGTGGAGATGCACAAGCTGTGAAAAACAGTTCTGTTAGTTAAAATACAAAAAATAATAATAATAATAAATAAAAAAACAAGGTTTAATTTTCAGCTCCTGCCACAACTTCAATAAAAAATTTCAAGAAAGCCATAAAATGGCAGCGATAAGGACACAGATGGCAAAAATAAAAATTATACAGACAGAAACACTATCAGCTTGTAAGTTTTTTTTTCTCCTGATAAGCTGCCAGACAGCTTCCGTTTTACATGTGCAGTCAGCGAACATTACGTCACCCTTAATCAGACTGTGTAATAAAAAGACTGATAATAATTATCAGCAAGATGGCAAGCCCTAAAAACAAATTAGGATGTGTTAAGAAATGAATTACATCAGGAGGATGTGGGGAAGCAGAGAGGCAGAGAAAGTAAATGTGTTTAATACACCACTATGGTTTTTCATACGATGTTGAGAAAATAATAACGATTCGGTAAAGCTTTTTATATTTCACACACTGTTATGTTTGGTAAAAGAGGCATCTATTCATTTCGTAACAGCATAAACTAATCCAACAAAATAACAGTCACTGTTAACTGCAAAGAATTGCAAAAATCAAAAGCAAATTAATCCAAAACGATATTTTGACAACATTTTTGTTACTTTACTTTTAATGCTACAGTTTTGTAAAAAACACCAACATTGATAATTTGTTGGATACTACGGTAAATTCATTTCACCCAAATGTCACATATAYACAAATACAAACCCTGCAAACATCATCCCTACTAGCCAGTCAGCCAGATTATTATTTTTATTTATGTATCTGCAACTGTTTCGGGGAAGATAGCTGCAGCTTGTGTAGCCAGACGCATTATCATATTTTATTGTGAGGTCTGAATAAAAAAGCCCAATGAAGAAATATCTATATCTATAACTATATCTGAAGAAATAGTTATAGAAATTGTTTTCTTATGTTTGAAGAGTGATTATGAACTTGGGTCCATGAGATGGTTAGCTTAGTATAAACAATGGAAACTTGGACCAACATCTAATCTGTATCCGTCCAAAGACTATAGGGTCCTAACATCTTGTCTATGAGGGTGTTAGCAAAGGGTACAGACATCTAGCCAAGAAGTATTACAGCATGTACTTTCACATAACGTATTATTCATTTTCTGTAAAAAATAAACATACAAGATACTAATTTACAAATTTTAAAGGTGTCTGTTATTGTAATACTTGGCTACAGTATAATTTCCCTTATTTGCTGTTTTTTTCATACGCAAAGAAATGGAAGAGACAATATTTTTTGCTAAGTGTCACCATCTATGTTTTTGTGTTTTTGCTTTGGAGTTGATTCCTTTTTGTTATTTGGTGCTTACCTTGCGTCCAATTTATTCGCCAGTGCTTTCTATGCCACCAGTACCTTTCCCTCAAGTCAGTCTCTGCTCCCGAGTCTTGCCATGYCCACTCACACCTGTTCCCTAAAATCATTAAACAACCCTAGCCCATATAGTCTTGCAGTCTTTACTCCTCAGCAGTCCTGTCTGCATCTCCTTTGTGCGTATGAGTTATGTTTTGTATGCTCTTGCTGCCATTCCAGTTGTTTTTGTATTAGATTTTGCAATTATTAAATCTTTTAGTTTTGGGGTCTTGTGTCTGATCTCTCTTCAAACCATGGCAGAAAGACATAAAAACAGATTTCATCAAAAAACAAAACAAAATAAAACAAAAAAAATTGATCAAAAGATAGTTTATTAACTTTTTATATGCTAAAAACAAACTTCAGACAGAAGAAATAGAAGTGTAAAGTTTAGAATCTAATCTAGATGAAAAGGAACAACTGTATAAATGGAGTGAAGAAATGTTGATGGAAGAACTGATTACAGCCCTGTAACATGTGGGACAAATATAAGGGCTGCTTTCCATGAACATTAATGAGTCACTAATGAAGACAAAACTGAGGAGGCAGCATTGAGTTTGAACTTGTCACCAGAGATGTATAAAAAAACAACTATTACTCAACTATTAATGTTATAGTTGGGATTCATTAGCTGATTTATAACACATTCAGAAATCGAGAGAAAACAAAACAAGCAAAATAAAAAAAAAATAAAAAAACAAGAGGGGACGTGGTATTTTGAATGTAATATTAGGCAGCACCAAATGTGATCTGTTCCCAGCACCAAATGTTTGTCTGGCAGCTAATGTTCAGCAGTCGTTGCACTCATTGTTTGGAGCCGTACCATGGAGTCTAACTGAAGCAGAATCCAGGAACACTCTTATTTCTCTGCTATGYCACACTCAATTAGGACGAAGTTCTTTGGTTTCTTTCTGTGTACCACTGAGAGAAATRCAAGCTGTTTACTGCAGTGTGTGTGGATGTACTGTATATCGACTTGAAGGGTAACTTTTGGCATGTGTACGCAACGAAAGTGTTTGAATTTGCTACGGTTCCCTGCAGTAAACTGTCGCATAATTACACACACAACTAAGTGTCAAAGTTCAAAATGCCACAAGGAAGCTTTTTTTAATTAGCTATACTTTTATTTGCATTGATTGAGTGGTTTAAACACGTTTCTGAAGGAGTTTTCCTACCACTAATCATTACATGATTACTRTGAATTCATGCAAAATTACTTATGCTTTCTGCTTCCATGACATAAAAAGACTGAAAGGCCAGACCATGTGTGACAAATCTTTTTAGATTACTTGATATATATAATTTTGTTTGCACAAAACTCCTGCTATTCTAAAAAATAAAATAAAAAAACAGTAATACATGCAGAGATGTGTGCAGTCTTACCTATGAAGGGAATTGAATCTAGAGAGTCGTCCAGGTTTTTGGAGCCAGATGTTTGTCGAGTGTCTCCAAGCCTCTTGAAGCGCATCTCCCTGCAGCTCTCGTTAGACATCCAACACATGGCTCCGTCTGCAGAGCCTGCCTTCACCAGGGGCGGGGATTTACGCATCACCTTACTCTGGTTGTCGTTTACAGCTAATACATAGGATGGAGGTCGAACATGGGCTTGTCCAGAGGTTTTGTTTGTTCTTAGAACCACAACAGTTGCATCAGGTCCTTCCAATCCCTCTAAAAGACCACCATTTGTCCTCTCAAGGGCACTTGTAGAACTAGAGGTTTCTTTGACATTTGGCTTTTGGGTTATGGCTCCAGTAGAAGAGGATGAACATGAAGAAATGGTGATAACTCCACTTTGAAGTTGTCTGTGCATGGGCAGTTTGGAGGTGGAACCAGAGCAAGATGAGGATCTGGCTGCTAACCCAGACTCTAACCTGTTGTCCATTTTCAGACTGTCAGCCCTGCCCCTGAGCTGCAGGTTCAGAGGGGACGAAAAGCCAAGGTGGTTCCCCATGATGGTAGCTTTTTGGTCTTTAAAAGGGTCTGTGGTTTTAATGGAAGGTAAGGCAGGAGAAAGGTCTGAGATAGAGTTTTTGACAGGCAGACGAGAGGGTCTCATTATGAGACCGTCTGTCCTTAATGGTAGTGCAGAATCTGTCGTACACTTTGTAAAATCAGGAGTAGCTCCAGGTGAGTTCACTAGTCCATCTTGTCGGACTTCCTCTTCCTGTCCAGTGAGATTCCTGCTCAGATGAGGTAAAGTTTTCTGGCTTGCTTCCTGACTTTTTGCTTGTTTTTGATCTCCATCGCAGAGGAGCAGCCTGTCCTCCACTGCTCCCCTGTCTCCAGAAACAACCCCATCTTGGTCTCTGACTTGCTGGCCCAGGTAGTCACAAGACCGTGCTCGAGGTTTGAGGACTCTGACAGTGTTGGAGAAAGGCAGCGCATCCTGAGAAGCACTTCGAGGCCAGTTCCTAATAGGCCTCTCCGTTGCACCTCCTAGCCTCTCCTGAGACACGCTGCGAATTGGAGTTATGAGTGCAGTACCCTGACTTCCTGTATCCCCCCCACGATCATTAGATGCACTCCTCCGTCTGACCTGAGAGCCCGCTTTTTGACTATTACTTGATAGAGGAGTACTTTGTTGGGCATAAGCAGAGTTAGAGTTGGCAGCTGCTCGCAAACTATCTAAGCGCTCCTGGATGGTGCGGCAGCCATACGTGTGCAGCCTTTTGGCATCAATATAGTCCTTATAGGTGGTGTAGTTTCTCCAGTCAATGTTCTGGTGAGGAGAGGTGGAGGGGGCGGTAGGAGAGGGTGAGTAGTGGTTTGTAGAGGGTGTGGAGAACGTGTCTGCTGATGCAGCAGTAAGAGATGCTCGTACAGGTGGGGCTAATGTCTCAGAATAAACCCCACCAGGTCTGGAAGTCGATGGGGAGTAGTTGGGGGTTTCTGTGTGATGGGAAGAGGGGTACTGCAACTGTACACCCCCAGGGACTGTAGAAATGATGAGTCCGGGTCTATTGGAGGCACACTCTGCTGAAGAACTGTACCAGTTTTCTTCTGTCCTGTGGCTGGGTTCAGCCCGAGCCACCCAGGAACCCCTGTCCACTGGATCAGGGGATTTACCCAGAGTCCTCACATTCTCGTTACTGACACACACCACTGCCTGAGTCTTTGATGACGGCTGAAGAGGGGGAGACGGAGGAACTGGAATTTCCACTCGATAGCTGTTCTCTAAGGCAGCCCCTCGTCTTCTTGGTCCCTGTGCCAGCCCTTTGGGAGTATCGCTGACTGTGGCAGGCTCCAACGACTGGGCCATGCCTGCAGCCTTGAGCTCTATTCGAGGGTAGCATATGGGAGGGGGCTCAGGGATGTTCTGGGCATTTCCGCTGTATGCCTCATTTCCTTTGAGGTATGCATCTTGAGAATATGCCTGCAGGAGATTAAAAAAAACTTTATCTGAGACATTTAAAGGACTTAACTAGATTAAATTAAATCCAAAGAGATTAAACCTAACCAAAAATGCAATATTAATCTTTTGTTAGATATGCAAATAAAGGAGAGCTGCTGATTAGGCTTGACACAAAAATACGATATATCCACATCAAATAGTAGCCAACAACACAAGTAGTTTTAACTGCTAACCTGTCATTTTATATTGCAGATTATAGAGCTGAAATTTACTGCCAGCTCCATCTTCCTCCACCCTCACAGTTACAGCATGTTTCTAAAAATATCTCATCTGCAGCACTGCATTGTGACGGACTGACTGCCTGTGTTAAACTACAGAAAGACTGATCGTCATTCATTGATGGGAGTTCCTTTGTGTGAGTTGATGAGATTATCAGCGGAACAATCATCGCTGCAGCCATCTGGATTTAGCAGGTCAATGTCAATTCATCAACAGCATGTTAAAAGTTGAAAACATTTCTTTAGCTCAAACATTGAGCTGTCAATAGGCTTTCCCTAAGTGATGGCATGTAAAGGTTTAAATGTTTACATCTTAAAGGCAGTAGACACAAGAGAGAAGATAGCATATGAAAAGGAAAGTAGAAAGAAATAGTAGGAAGAAAAGCTCTGAATAAATCCTTGAAGACAGCTAGGATTAGGATGGCAGCATCGTACCCACCTTTCGCACCGGAGAGTGTCCCCTGAGGCACGAAGAAAAAGCAAAAGGCGGTCTCCTCTGTCTTTTTTTCACAGGTAATGCCAATTCTGTCAGCATGGCCCCACAACTGGACTGCCACTAATTAAAGTGGCGTTTCTGACTCAAACTTAGGGAACAACACTGAACAAATGCTAATTAAAAACTCTGCTCAGTCTTTAGCCAAGTATCTCCGCTTTAGAAAAATCTACAGGCAGCATTTTTAAAACTGTGTTTCTTCATCCTTTCAGCACAGACACTCTTGAGAAAATGAAAGGGAGGGAGTTGTGCTGGACTTTAATCAACAGCACTCTACCTGGGGTGTCATGTTACAGCTGTGTTGACACAGCACTGCTGACTGCCATCCTCTGGATCTCAACTCCTCCAGTTAAATAGAAAACAGTTTCATTATTACAGAATGCACAGACAGGAATGTCTGTGGTCTGCTGAAAGATTATGTCAATATCCAAAAAAAGGAAAGGAAAAGCATGACCGATATGCATTAATCAAAATACAAATATAAGGAAAAGGGAAATTCACTTGGGGATTGCCAGCTTCTCAAAAAAAAAAAAAAGAATAAATAAAAATGACATAAGCTCTGGAGGTGGTGAGACAATGTTGCGAGAAAGGTGTGTCAGTGAGTCTGAAAGGTATTAGGATGATTTCCCATCTTACCAGAGCAGTGATATCCCTGGAAAACTGCAGTCCATAGGTTAGATAAAGGCAGGCAGAGAAAAAGAATAGGTTTGAAAGAGGTTAACAGGTGACAATAAGGAGGAAAAAGATGCAAAGATGCCGGCAATACAGCAACTTTAGACGTTGATAAAGGCTAAATATGAGGGAAATTGGAAAAGGCGACTTTTCGGCTTGATTGGTGACAAAGTGAGATTTTTTTTCTAGTCCGTGAACAACTAAAGATTCAAAAACCTGACTTCTTTTTCTGCATGAGTGCACTATAGTTAAAAAAACAGTTGCTTAATTGCAGTAAAGTGGTCTGTTTTGTGCTAGCACTATGACATATTTAGAGTGGAAAGCTTTATTGGGTGAAATGATTCAAAGCTATTTATTTATACATATTACCTGCAATGTGGTTAAAATTAAAATAAGAGAAGCAAAACAAGTTGTGAGGTTACTTTTAAAAATTTGGATTTTTGTATAGAGGTATTTTGTCAGTTGCACATTTTCCTGCTCTGTAACATAAAATGATGAAGCTGTACTTTATGATGCCAGTTTGCATTTGCATTACACTATTATTTTACTACGAACAACACTCTGCTGTCAAAAAGTAGTCATATCTATTCTGTTGGCTCTTTATCGCTCCAAATTCTCTGCATTTCTTCGTTCCGTCACTCTCACCTTCTCACTCCGATACCTCCCATTGTCCTCTGCGGAGCCGCAAGCATTTCACTGACGTTGAAACGCTCTCTAGACCAACCTCCCTCCTTATCCTTGCCAGCATCTCTCCCATCGTTTGCATACTGCTATCATATGTTCTCTCTTGGTTGAGCATATCTGCATACTTCGGGACTGGCTGCTGTTCGGTAAACAGTGTGCTGAGAGGAGTCAGCTGACTGCAGCGACAGTCCCTTTGATGGTGAGCGAGCTGAGTGTCTCAAAATTCCACCACTTTAGACTGAACAACTGCTTGGTTTGAATCCTGAAGCCTTGCGAGTCCTTACACTCATTCCATACGCCAACACTAACTGTGTGCGTTTTTTTCTGATGTGCTGAGGCCACTTTGTGAGGAATTTAGCATCTTGATTTGATTTGACTCAGTTTGCGCTTCTCAAATACAAGTAGCAACTGGTTTAAATTGGCTTGGTGCTTCCTTATTGTCTGTGAGGCTCTGGATCCAGACTGATAATGCAACCTGGCTGTATACGTCACCAGTCTGATTGGCATAAAGTCAAGATCAGCTCTTCTCCTACTTACTGCTGTTTTCATTCCTGTGACTTCATATTATGACTCCACTGACTGTTTTGAAATATTATCAACAAGGCTAACCTCTGACACAAATCTGACAATATGAACTAAGCATGATTCACACCAACTCATTTCCAAGCTTTTCTGGTAAAGAGACACTTATGGTGCGTTCACACCGAACGCGATTTCAGCTTCAAAATCGCAGCCAACGCTGAAGTTTGAAGCTTGTGCTCTTTGAGGTCAGACGCAGGACAGCTCTTGAAGCGCTGCACGACAACAGCCTCCCCGCCCCTCCCTCCTCTGTCGGGCACTGTTTAATGTCGGACGAGGAAGTGGCTTTGCTTTATTTACAGAGAGCAAGAGCATGTCACGTTCATCAGATAATYAATTCATAATTAATTCACCAGATAATTCAGAGAAGAGGCTCACAGCTCGCTTTCAGGACTATTTTTTTCAGTCTGATGAGTCGCTGCCACCCATTGCTGCGGATCAGGACACGACTGCAGGCACTCATTTCAGCTAAAGAGCTCCTCTCCGTCTGTTTCAGGTTAGTGGACATCATTCAGTAAACTGTCCCGTCGGGAAATATGTCGCTACGTCACACAGTGGAGTCTCTCTGATTGGTTGABGCKGYGCGTCGAGCTGCAAAAGTTCAGATTTTCTAACTTCRGYGATTTGCGCCTCAGCGCGTCGAACGCTCAGATCGTTCAAATCGTTCAAATCGCGCTGCTCTAATCGCGCTTGAGGCGCCGCAGAACTTCCTGACGTTGCTTGAAGCGCGTCCACCATAGACTTTGCATGTAAACCTGCTGCTCCTGATGCTGAAATCGCGTTTGGTGTGAACGCACCATTAAAGAAATGTGTTTTTTCTTCTTCTTTTACACAGGAACAAAGCATACCACTGATGTCAACTAATAAGAGAGAAGTTGGATGATCTGTTAGTGCTCAGAGACTGTTATATGTATGACTCTCAGCTACTACCACACTAAATTTGACCTCAACATCTCTAAAACATTCAGGGTTATAGTCATTTTTGTGTTTATTAAGGTGAATTAGTTGTGGCAGCCATCTTCAGTCAGGTTGACTCCAAAAGTTGAACAGCCAATTCTTACTTTCTGGGAGTTTCAATAAAATCAGATGGCTAATGAGACATTTTGCTACCAGACAAAATACACACACAGAACCAGGCAATTACATTATTGCTTGTCCTTTACGGCAACAGGTGCTAAAAACCCAAGCACTAAACATAAAAACTGTAAATTATCTCTGAAAACAACAACAAACAATTCAAATATCCTGTTTCATGATGAATGCTTCTTACCAGCTGCAAAATGTCCTCATCTTTGGGCATGACACAGAGTTCCAAAGAGGAATCACTGTTGGATGTAAAAAAATGAAAAAGAAAAAGAGAAAACACAAAATGACACATTTTAGGTCTCCATGAAAAGCAAAAGCCTATTTATATAACGTCTTGTGATTTGGCTCATATTTCCAGCTGTAAATCACACAATACCTCACTTTGTATGCATTCACCCTGGTATTTTAGAGTCTGGTAAGCCACTGAAAACTGCTGATGGCTTAACCAGAACTGAGGGATGTGCACTTTATTTATAAAAAATAATTTTGTTATATTTTTAGAAACATCAGCAGAGAAAACAAACAAAAAAAAATGAAGTAATATTGGAGTGTGTGTTTGTGTCTTTAAATATCTSTTCCCCTGAATCCATCATCTGCCTACAGAAATGAACATTAATCTGTGACCAAACCTGATCCTGAAACTGCAACTCTCCATTTCATGGCGATTTTAATAGCAGGAGTTTGATTTAAGCATAAAAATCCTCAGCTTGACAAGGAAAATGTTTGCTTAAGAATACTGAAACATGCTAGATCGTTTATTTTTTTCTTCAGCTGCTTTTGCTCCGAGAACAAGCAAAACCAGATTTGGTCTACGAAGTCAGCCAGACTCTTTCACAAGTTGAATATTTTCCACTAAATAAGACGTCCTACCTGTTCTGGATCAAGGCTATGACTTGTGAGTAAGTCTTCCCGATGATGCTCTCTCCGTTCACTTTCACAATCCGATCCCCTGAACAGATGTAAAGGAAGAAATTACAGTTAAAAAAACACTCTCAAGTAACTCCTTCCACTATGAACATACACTATTTTGTTTCAACTCAAAAAAGATTCCTACATGTTTATTTGACAGCTTATGCAGGTTTTCTGAAGATGGCCGTGTTACAATAAGAGATGACCAAGTGTGTTTAGGAGATAAACGGAATAACTGTGAGAGAGAACTGCGCTCCCCTCTCCCAGGAGAATACAAAGGAGTGGGCAGATAAAAGGAAACAGCTCTGAGGGCTTATCCAGACCACTTACTGTAAGATTTCCTGTAACACAGAGCACAAACCTGCCAGGACAAAGCTTCAATCATCACYGTCWTTTCAGGAAAACTAAGGTGATAATCTACTGTTTCACCAGATGGGAGTTTTTTTTAATCTATTTATATCCCTGCTGTCTATTATTAGAAATGATTCATGTATTAAGATAAAAAAAWAAGAAAACAGGCCTTTTGAAAGACAGGAGTAACAGTATGTTCACCCTCCAACATTAAAGCCATCTGTAGTTTTTGACTTTTTGTTTGTTTTGCTGGCGGTTTGCACAGAAGTGGAATTACCCACAGTAAAGACGGGAACTGATCTCTGTGGTCAGATGTGGCACAGGGCTGATCAGAAGATCGGCCAGTTCCCACATATACTGTAGCTCATCTACCCCACCACTGAGACTGCGTGTGGGCGTTACCGGCTCTGAGTTTGTGCGTTTGTGTACCTGTACAGAGTCCAGCTCCATGAGCGGGGCCTCCCTCCTTCACTTGCTTCACAAAAATCGTGTCCATTGGCTCCAGACGGTTTCTCTGTCTCCCTAGCAATGGTAGGAAGACAAGAAAGGAAGACAAGAACAGTGACGATTGGTCACAGAGAGCAAAAACAGCACAGGAGGAGCCACATGTAGGCCAGACTGCAGAGTAGGGATGTAGCTCTTCTGCCCTTTTACTTTAGGTTTGACACTTTCATAAATATAAACGACACTGGTTACTCATTTTATACAAAGAGTTGAACAACTTGACTGGAACAGAAAGTTATGCTAATCAGATGTCGTGTTTTTGATTTTAGGATAATCAACATGAAATCAAAATAAAAGAACAGCAACAACAAAGGTAGTTTAAGCAATTTTAGTTTAGGTATTCAAATCAATTCAAAAACACTTTATCAATCCCAAAAAGGGAAATTAAATAGAATTATATATAACATAGCAGGGCTCCCAGAGCTAATCTGAAACAGCAATAACTTGGCCATTTTAGGATATACTGGACTTAAATCTGGTGTGGTGATAACTGAGAACAAGCCCATCGCATTTTGAATCTAAATCAAAAATCCAAGATGGCCACCATAGTTAAAATGTAAAATTGACCAAAACGTTGCCATTTTTAGACATACTGAACTGAAAATGGGTTTAGTTTTTGTTTGTTACCCCATTGGTCTCTGCCTTAGCAAAGACTATTCTTCCTGGGGCCCCACACAGAAAATAAAACACATTACAAACAAAAAAAAAATGCAATCAACAAAACAACACAATTAAAATGAAAAATACAAATTACATGGTATGGTGGTTGATGACAGTGATCTTCAATAAATAGTAAAGTCGAWTCCTAAATTTAAAATGGAAACCACATGACAAGCCCTTTCATCGTTTCTCCAGGAACTGCTCTTGTTGGGGCTTTTTTATTTCTATAAAGTTTATTCATTTAAAACAAAACAACATAAATTCCATATTCAATAAAAATACAGATCATAAACCTAAAGAAAGGTAGCAGAATAAGAAAAAAAATCTTATGATTTCTGCCCCTTTTTCTCAAATAAATAAATTCAATCAAAAATAATCKTCATGATTGTCATTACAAAATGAATGGAGACACTTATTACTATCCATGAATTAAAAGGATCTCTCAATTTTATTTATATTTATAGAAATATAGTTTATGGTACACATTTTGATTTAGTCAACCTTTTAAATACAATCATTGTCACTAATGTCCAGATCACTAAATAAATAAATAAATAAATAAAAAGGATTTGAAAAAACAGGTTTGCTCATCAAAAGTAAAAATTATGACCCTGTCTGCCAAGTTAAGATCAGATTAACTTATTCAGCATTTATAGACAACAAAAGTTGACGAAAGTGCAGCTGGATTCAACACAGGTCATAAAAGACTAATTTCATAACATGTTAGGAGCAGCCTTCTCTTTTCTGAAAACCACGTGACAAAACTGCAACAAGCTGCAGCGTGACTGTTTGACAACTCACAGAGCGACATGAGAGCCTGCAGTGACGCAGCCATCACACACGCCGTCTGTGTGGATGTACACAAACACACCCCTCCCCTCTGAGAGCAACCAGGTCCCAACAACTTTGTGCCAGTCTCATTGAACTCCAACCCTCTGCGGCACAGATTAGATTCTGGAAGTTTTCATGCCTGCAACTGGTTGAATGGGATTAAATGTGGAAAATCTAAAGCTTTGAACATTTTTAAYGCTCCGAGCTGACTTAGTGAAGCATAAATTGCTGCATAGATTAATGAAAAACAGACTGACTTAAGCTGCTCCAAAACACAGAATCATAGTCCAATCAGTGAGACTAATCTTCAGCTATAATAAAGGACAAACCAGCTGATGCTCTGGCTTTTAAGACTTTGCAGTTTTTATTGAGCATAAGAAGATGTCTGCTGGAAACAGAACTGGTCTGAAAGGATAACTAAAGTCACTCATTCTTCAGAACAAAGTGAATGGCTTTAATAATAAAGTGATCATATACAAAGTCAAGTAAAAATAAACAAATCCCACTGACACAATATGAAATTAGTTACCTTTACAGACATCAACATTTCATTGACATTTCCTAGTACTGTCATGAAGATTGGTCCAACAWAGTTGAAAACATATATAGTTTTTTTTGTTTGTTTTTTTGTGTTAAATTAAAAATGTGTAAGCAGAACTTGTGAACATTATTTTTCATCATAASGTAGTGTTAGTGTAAAACACCAACATGAAGAAGGGTGGGCAATACGTAGTTCTTCAAGGGACACTCGTTCGTTTTTACGTTATTGTAAGTTTTTGTTTGTTTTGCTCAGAGCTAAAAAAAAAAAAAGGATATTCCTGATAACTAATTTGGATAAACAAAAGTAATATGAGTTGATTATAAGATAAAACAAAACTCACAATTCACAAATAAGAAATTTTACAGCAGGGTAAAGGATCATGTGAATATTACTGTCTAAGTTAAAACCGTGTCTAACACAATAATCACAGAAAAAGCAGTCCCTTTCCTCTCTGACAACATTTACATTCCTACAGTTAAACCCTGCTGTAATCAAGCACTTCTTTTCTCTTTCACTCTGACATAAATCTGGACTGATGTTGATCAGCTGAGACCACTTCATTTCAAACACCAGCCATTATAGAGTTTCAGTGTGTAGTGCTGAGAAGGATCTAATGGCAGAAATGCTAAATAATTCATTAACTAGGACTCTTTAGTAAAGAATCACATGAGAACCTTGTAATTTAATCCATCTTGAACTTCTCCACTAGATGTCCCTACAGACCACACAGCTGAGATCCTCGGAGCCTTTAWACAAGCAAACCCATTCTTGGTGTTTGAAAGCAGTTTTTTTGTAGTCAGATACAATATTATCTGTCTGAGTTAGCTGAAGGCTCTTCACACCAGAAAACCAAAAACTATTTTTGTTGCTTACTCTCTTAATAAAAGCCATAAATTATGCACACACAATCTGTTTTATCTGTGCTATTGTTCAGCTAAAGTTCCTTATTTGACTCAATAAAAGATGGAAATGAGCTTCAGCTTGATTACTTAAATACATTTCATTTATCCTATTTTCACCATCTATTTGTGTGGCTGCTATTAAGTAAACAAAACAGGTTTTTTCACCTCCTCTTTAATGCATCTGTGTTAGTCAGCAGTCAGGGGTTTGCAGGCGTGCCTGAGTGTCAGAGTTGCTCTCTGGGCTCCACAGGCTCTGGTTTTGGCTGTCATCTCTGGCTGCACAGCTGGGTCTGGTTGTGTGGGCCGGCAATCTGCTCCCCTGTTGTTTTGGGTTAGATAATGTTATTCTACCGAGGACTGGGCCTGCTGCCCGCTCTCTACATTAAACACGGTGTAAAATCTCCCTCCCCAGCTTGCTGTTCTTTACCATTTGTGCCACTGTTAACGTTTTACAAGCCATCCCAAGCCTCTCCAGATGTAAGAACTTACAAAAACCTTCACAGATGCGTTGAGCACTTCAAACCCAGAGGAAAGTGGCAGTATTTAGATGACTATCTAAGACAGGTCCACTCCAGCAGAGAGGTTTGAAGATGGGAAACATGGAAATCTAGAAGAAGGAAATCCCCCCACAGTGTAGAAAGGTCAAAGCACACAGAGACTTTCCATACATCTATGCATTTACCCTCCTTCAAAAGCACATTATAGTTTGTCAATTTGTCCAAAGCAGCTAGACTGAAGACAAAAAAAATTGAGATAGTAGTAATTGTGTTTTTTATAGAAAACTTTGCACATAACCAGTCCAAATAAAGTTCTACTATCAAAACATAAACCCTCCTGACATTTGAAGCCCTCCATAAACCTACATTCTGAGAAAGTGTGTCACTCCGACATCAGGCAGTGAGGGAACATGCTGGTACTGGCCTCAGATGGACAGGTCTAATTCCACTAATCACTGAACTTTGTAAACTGACACAGCTTTTTTTTACCGTAGAAGCAAAACACACACTTGAATATGTCAAAAAGTCTTAAAAGCTTCTCTCAGATCAATGAAAATAACTGTCAGTGTTCTACAGCTGACATCAACACATCCTATACGTGTTTACTTTTTAACACCCAACATTAACAATCTCTGTTAACAACAGATCAGACTTATTTTTTCTTTCTATGTATTAACAGGTAAAGATTCATAAGTGAATAGTAAACTGTCTACATTTAATTTGAGTCTTTTGAAACCAGATTTACAGTGTTGTCGGTGGATCTGAACCAACAGTTCCACATGCGAGGGCCTGAGTGTTAAACCCACAATTATCACCTGCACTGTTTGATTAAAATCTTTTATATATTGGTAATATGATTTTTGTTTACCAAGCAGGACATTTATAGTCTAAAATATGAACTTATTGTATTAAAATGCTGAATGATCATGTGAGAAATTGAGTAATAACCATAGAAGACATGACTGGTGGCTCTTGTTGCTTCCCAAGTCCAGGTCACAAGTCCATCACAGGGCCACATAGAGACAAACAACCATTCACACTCCCACAGGAACTATTTTAGAGTTACAAATTAGCCGAACATGCATGTTTTTGCTCTGAGGGAGGATGCCGGAGTACACGGAGAAAACTCATGCATGCATGGGAAGACTATGCAAAAAGGTCTCTGGGAGGATTCAGCTGAGAGACTACAGCTCTACCAAAGCAAAGGTTTGAATAATGCTCAGTGTCTTTTTGGGGAGAGCAGTATGCCCACTTACAAGACCCCCGCTTATATGGGTTCATCCATCCCCACTCACCATAACCAACAATGCCACCTTCTAGACCCCATCCACCAACATGTATACATTAGGATTATCATAAATTCAAATTTCAAATATCAGTACATCTGAGGGTGGGGGTGTGGGTGTCAGGGTCTTTATTCCCATCCCGTTCCCTGACTGCCATTTGGGGAGGGGGTCCTGAAGAAGGGCAGACCGCCGGGTGCGGTCCTGGGCTGTGGGTGGGCTTGGGGCTTGGATGGTCGCCGGGGGCGGGGCTGGCTCTCCGTCCTCCCTGGTGCTGCTTGGTCTCCTGAGGTGTGGCTCTTGG